AGTTCTGATTGTCAATATCTTCCTCCTTCTCCAAGGTTAAGGTCTTTCTTTATTTACGAGAGCACTGGGAATGATTCATAGAGTGCACTTCAACAGTATCTCTGTTCTTTTTTCTAATAATACTGTACTGGGCACTATCTTTTTTTCAGAGTTGATGGTTACATCGAAATTATTCTGCTCTTAAAAGATCATTTCAGAAGTGATAAAGAAAATTGTCCTAAACCTGCTTCAGGAGAACCTTTTCATGTAGGATGTAATTTACAACACTCTGGGAATCTCATTATCTATCTTGATGAGACTTGTAATTAGCCTTATGATTTATTTAATAAATTTCTTAACTTTATTTTTTCATGTTTATGTAATATTAATACAAAGAGAACAGATTCAATGTAGTTCCTAGATAACAATTCTAAGAATAAAATCTTTCCTTTTTCCCTGCCTCCCTCTTCCTCCCCCCATTTCTTGCCTAGTTTCTGAGATAACATATTTTAATTTGCATTAAAGTGAAAGGCTTAATACTAGATATAGTAGTCAACAAGTGTAAAGTAAAAAGACCCTAATTCAGAGGGACTATTTCATCCACTTGGAAAACACAAGGGAAAAAGGAGAAAGAGAAGGAGAGTGGGAGAGGAAGAAAGAGAGAGATCTTTCATCTGCTGGCTTACTCCCATGCCCAGTTCACTCCCCAAATGCCTGCAATAACTAGGACTGGGCCAGGCTGCAGTCAGGAGCTTGGAATTCCATCCAGGTTTCCTACATGGGTGATAGGGGCCCAACACTTAAGCCATCATTTAATGCCTTCTACAATCCATTAGCAGTAAGCTGGACTGGAAGTAGAGCAGTAGGGACTTGCACAGCGTGCTGATCTGGGATTGGTGTGAAAATTACTCTGAATGGGCTGTTATTTTACTCTCAACCTAGCATATTTAATTAGATTGATTTGTTACTCACCTTTTATTACTATTTCTTCCATGCAGAAGAAACTATGATGCTTACTTGGCAGAATTTGTGCTGGAATTGTTTAGTTACCAAAAATCAAAACCAAAAGGAAAACCAAGACTGGCCAATTCACCTGCATCAGCTACAGAAGGCACTGAGAGTATGGATACAACATTGTTTTTGGCGATTTGTATCAAGTTAACTAACAGCAAGCTTTTTGGTGTGTGTGTGTGTGCATGTATGTGTGTGCATGTGTGTATGTGTGTGTGTGTGTGTGTGTGTGTTTTGTTTCTTAAATTATTCAGCTTCAGAAAGGTTGGGATAGCCATGCTATGCCTTGTATGAAGTGAGAGGAAGACATTTCCATCATACTGTAAATTTTCCTCAAAATTCCTACTGTAGCAGCCTTAGAACTTCCCTTTCCTGGCTTGTTTATAAAGTTTTGGGAAGGGGTTGTCATGACTGCAACACTGAATAACCCACTTCCAGAAAATACTTTATTATAAATGAAAGACAATTTTCTAGATTGAAGTGAGTGGTAGGCAACCTTGCATAATATAAAAACCCTGAATAGGCAAGAGAGGAAGAAGAAGGGTGGTAGGATGGGTGGGAGGAAGGTAAGGGTGGGAAAATCACTAAGTTCCTATATCTGTATATAAGGAATGCATGAAATTTATATACCTTAAATAAATTAAGAAAAAACCCATGGATGTACAGTTAGAGCTTTCTTTACCGGTCATGGGAAATTATAATCTTAGTTTCCTTAGCTATAAAATTGGCATAATTATACCCTTCTTGAAGAAGGCTGTTATAAAGATTACTAAATGACGTAATATCTGTGGAACTACCTTCATCAGTAAGAACGTAAGAAATATTGGTGTTACATATATGGCCATAACAAACTCATAGAAAGTTGTAGGTGGGAGATATAGGAATCTAAAACTCTGCCATAATTTTTTTTTTACTCTTATAAACATGATATCATCTTTTTACCTGTATTAGAAGTTGGAATCCGATCTGAAACTCCTCAGGAATTTCCTTGCTATTTTCTTAGTCTTTTTTGGCAATGACCAGAGAGGACACAAAGGGCAGAGATGGCTATGACAAAGAATTTGTGCTGAAGGATAGAAGGAACATACGCAGATCCTGCCACAAGTAGGCAACTCTGTCCTTCCTGGTCCACAGAGATCCATTAACTGCTTCTAAAAGGAGAGCAGTGTCAGGAGAGGGCTCTGTGTTTGGTGCTCACTTCCCGTGGGGCGTGCCTTAATTTGTTTGTTTTCTTCCTATGCAAGCTGAAACAATATCTTTTGCTTCCATCCAACTTCTCATAGGTGGAGTGAGATATAAATGTTAGCTCTAACCCCTTGAAGTATGCTTTCCATGTGGACAGTGAAAACGTCTTGCAAACCTGAGGGAGGAGAAGCAGTCCCAGACGTGGATAACTGAGCCGACACCTACAGCTAGACCTCAGAGTTATTCAAGCTGGCCTGGCATAGCTAGGTCATGCCGTTCTCTGAAAATTTAACCTCGGTTAGGGTCACTGTGAGACTGTACGATGAAACAAAACAAAGCGACTCCATAATTTTGCCTAAGCACAGACAAAATGAGGTCATGGTGTCCCTTGTAAAGTGTCAAAGATTTTCCTTTCTTGGCTATAAGGAGTGGCTGCTTTGTTTTTTAAAAAAACAATGACAGCTTCACTCTCTTTCTCATATGCTCTCTCTATAGGTGTGATTTATTAAGATTCCTGGCCATAAAATTGTCCTGGTTTTGACAACATCCAGTTGGAGCCAGCTGCCACTTTCTTAGATCCTGCTCCCAATCACCCTAACAAAGCACAAATACTAAAATAGGTTCTTTCTCACATTGTCTTCCCGGACTCCCCACGGAATACATTATCCCTTGCTATAGTGAGTGATACACACAGCTTGTTCCTCTACAGGTGGTCCTCTGGTCTTTGACTAAAGGCTATCAAAGAACCTAATGTGCTTACAGAGTGTGGTGGCTGTGGAGCAGAAACTTTTTCTGCAGGCCTTCATTTAGGCATCTCTAAGAGGAAAAGCTGCGGGCCCCTGGATTGCTCCAGGTGAAGACAGCCATTGCAGGGCCATTCTCAGCTGTGAGGGAGAGGCAGGTACTGCAGCTCATGGAGGGGCAGGGGTGTGAACACAGCCAATGCTCTGTCTCCTCATCCTCCCCACTGTGGCAGAAGTTTTCCTCTGAAACACTGATTTGTTCAGCTCCTCTAGGGACCACTTCTGTTTCTTTCCTTTTTTTTTAATAGAAAGCTTTTATTTAATAAACATAAATTTCATAAGTACAGCTTTTAGATTAAAGTAGTTCTTCCCCCCATACCCACTTCCCACCCCCAAACTGTCTCATCTCCTACTCCCTCTCCCATCACATTCTTCATTAAGATTCATTTTTAATTATTTTTATTTTTTAAATATTTATTTTATTTATTTGAAAGGCAGAGTTACACAGAGAGAGGAGAGGCAGAGAGAGGGAGAGAGAGAGAGACAGAGAGAGAGGTCTTCCATCCGCTGGTTCACTCCCCAGATGGCCGCAATGGCTGGAGCTGTGCTGATCAGAAGCCAGGAGCCAAGAGCTTCTTCCGGGTCTACCACGTGGTTGCAGGGGCCCAAGGACTTGGGCCATCTTCTACTGATTTCCCAGGTCATAGAAGAGAGTTGGATTGGAAGAGGAGCAGCCGGGACTAGAACCAGTGCCCTTATGGGATGCCGGAGCTTCAGGCCAGGGCTTTAACCCACTGCGCCAGAGTGCTGGCCTCTAATTATCTTTATATACAGAAGACCAAGTCTATACTAAGTAAAGATTCCAACAGTTTGCACCTACACAGACACACAAAGTATAGAGTACTGTTTGAGTAGTAGTTTTACCATTAATTCTCATAGTACAACACATTAAGGACAGAGTTCCTACATGGGATCAAGTGCACAGTGACTCCTGTTGTTGATTTAACAATTGACACTCCTATTTATTTATTTATTTATTTTCATTTTTATGAAACTTCTTTATTGAAACTTCTTGTTCATAATGACATGATTTCAAGGAGGCCTGTTATGTATTTCTGTTAGGCCGTCACAAAACACACCAAATACCGGAGTAAGGGAGAAGGTTTATTGGGGAAACCCAGCAGGCTGGAGGGAAAGGGCGAGAAGGAAAAGAGAGAAGGAGAGTATAAGAGAGAAACAGAGAGGAGAGGAGCTATCAAGGAGAGAAGAGAGAAGAGAGATGAGAGGGGGAGAGGAGAGCAGACTAGAGGAGCCAAGAGAGGCATGTGTGCAGGAACAGGTCCTTTTAAAACTTTGCCGGAGGGCGGGCAGGGAAGCAGGAGCAGCAAATCCCATTAGGATGGGGGTGGAGCCTGGCACAGGCAAGCCATGGGCACAGCTTGGGCTATGTGGCTACCTGGCTTTTAGCAATGGCAGCGGGAACTGGGGCATAGGATGTAAATTAGGGTGTAGATTGCGCCATGGATAAAACTGTGCCAGTTTCCTAACATTCCCTCCTTTTGTTTTTTATAAAGCAGGATTTGTACGGGATTACATTAGTCCCAAAAGTCCAGGAGGGGTAGAGGGACGATGATCTGTCTTTAGAGCTACTTCCTGCTGACGTGGGGTGATGAGGTACTCTTCGCTGGCATGGGGCAATGTCTCAAGCCGCTGTCTCCTGAGTGGGGAGCCGAGTATATCCCTGTAGCAGCATTTGGTTGACCGCCTTGTTGCTGAAGGCCTTCGTTTGTTCCATTATAACCTGCTGTTTACACTTAGACACTGTAGTATAAAAGACAGGGTGAGAATAGTAACCAATGATCCTAAGAGTAGCATTAACCAGGTAATGAGAGGATTTCATAGAGGAGAGGAAATGGGAGGTCTCTGGACCCTTGTGGGGACAGTTTGATGGATGTGGCTTAAAGCTGATTCCAGCCAAGACTGGGAGAAAAGCCACTCATCTTTTGCAGGTAGAGGGGTTTGTCTGTAGAGAAATTCTGAATAATCATACAACATTAAGTGGGGGAGAGGACCATCAGTACACACAGGTTGAGAGCAGAGCCATTGATGTTAGAGTAGAGGTTATGATTACAAAGGAATGAGGCCCAGGAGTGGGCTAAACAGGGTCTAGAACAAAGGACAGGGTCATTATTAGAGGAGCTAAGAAAGGTGCAGTCTAAGCTACAAATAAGTTTTCTGATTGAGAGGCAAATAGAACCTGACAGAAGGGGCTTGATAATAATCTGGTGGGCTTTGAGCCCTTGTAAATTATGAGGCTCAGACCTATCTATCTCTTCATATAGCCTACATCCTAAGGGAGGTGTGAACCTCCTTGGGGAAGGCACCCTGTTGACTTCCATCAGCTGGCCTGGGAGGAGAACTGGCCAGGTAAAGGCAGGTGGCATCTCTAACAGGAAATTTACAGTCCTGCCTACAATGTTACTGACCCTATTTGGCTGTCTCCTCTCAGCAGCGGTGGTCACCTTGGAAGCTGGGCTGGACACTCTTATTTATGATGTCAGCGATGATCCCAGGCTCTTGTCATGAGCTGCCAAGGCCATGGAAGCCTTTTGTGACCATGAACTCCAGATGATCTTCTGTTGTCTACTTCTCTTTTGTGCTGGAGTCCAGCTCCAGCAGGTCCAGGGGTTCCTGAAGGTGTGGGAGGTGTTGGCGCAGGAAGAAATGAGAGACACACTCACAGCAAAGCTGTGATGAGAGAGCACCAGACTTTATTTTTTACCCTAAATTACATCTGCTGTTCATTTTACACATTCTTTACTGTTCTCATAAATTTTGCATATGTCCACTCACTAGTGATCCTTACAGATCTTCCTTACAATAACAAAGTCTGATTTTCCATCCATTTTAAACCATTGACCTTGTACTATGTGTAACCCCTCTTTAATCCCAATTTCCATAGCTGTGTAACAGTTTCTTTGATTTTAAAGACTTAATTGATATTTGAGATACGATAGAACAGAGACTCAAAGTGACACTAGATTAATAACTGTAATAACTGATTACAAAAAAACATAGTGGTTATTTTACAAAGAATCGGAACATCTACTTCTAGTTTTATAGCAATTGATTATGAAGATTGGGACATTTACCTTTTATTTTAACTCTACTAGTAATAACATCCTTCTCAAAAAAACCCATTCATTACACATGTCCTTCCCATAACCTTTGCTATTATTTAGTTTTAGTAATTCATTTAAGACTTGCTCATTGATTTTGTAACTACTTTATATTCTTTCCACCAGGCCACACATACTAAGGTATTTACCACTGTTTGTGTTTTTCTCAGCCACTTAAGTTATTAACCCTTATTTAGAAATCCTTAATCCATGTCAAGACACGGTCTCAAGTGGATTATAGCAGGATTCTGAAAACCTCTCCGAAAGACCCTCTTATCCCTAACCTAAGTCAGGTCTAGCTACATACCAGATACCTGACAGCTTAGAATTCCCTCTAGGCTTTATTACAGATAACTGAAGCATCAGAAGGAGTTGGGTTGGATTACTCTAGGAGGATCCAGTCCATCCAACAGCTCAACCGGCAGTGAGGTCATTTTGAGCAGAGGTTGTTTCTCACAGATTTCCAAGAATATAGCGATCATTAATGAGACCACCAGGAAACTCTGGCTTTCTTGTATAGAATATAATTATCAATAAATTAAAACCACCAAGAGGACCGCAGCTTGTTCTCATGCCCTGTGGAGACCTGGTCAGACAGCCGAAGTCGTCTTGGCCTCTTCACTTTTGTATACATTTTCTTTGTGGGTTGCCAAAATTAACCTTTTTTTCTATTCTTTGAAAATCTAAACTTATACCTGTGCTTCCTCAGAACTGTATTCCCTAGATCTCTGCATGGTTTATTCCCTTACTTTGAAATTACCTCCTCACCAATGTATTCTGTGAACATTCTGTCAAAATAATCTTCTATACTACCCCAACAGTTTTTATATTAAAATTCTACTTTATTTTTAATATTACTTTTGACTATTAGAATTATAGATTCTATGTTTACCTTCTTATAATCTATCTTCCTCACTAGAATTCAAGTTTCATAAATGCAGGGACTTTAATTTCTACATCATTTTAATTCACAATGGTACATGTTTTTGAATGAAATACATCAACCCCAGATGCCATCTGACCATGTGAAAAAAAAACAACTGGGCGAGTCATGTGGAAGTGTTACTCAAGTCCTCTGCATCTGTCTTGGTCTTGGAATCCTAGACACATTGGCTTTTTCTCTCTGTGTGCTTTTACCTCTTCTGGGCTGTGTAGGCACACAATCTTTCTGCTCTTGAAACTAACCTAAAGTGTAATGTCAGTCTTCTTTTAAAGTGTTTTGTGAACATTTAAAAGACAAAAAAGAAAAAAACAAAAGGTGGGAGGTTGAGGGAAGGAGAGAAGGATGCAGGGAAACATGGATATCGTCTTAGAGTTGTATTTATGAAATACATGAAACTTTCTCTTTTATATACTACTAAAAATTAACAAAAAGAAAACTCTGAACCTCAAAAGAAGAAAACCTATAACAAAGTGTCTTAATTTCCTAGGTTAGCAGAATGACAGGATGAATATACCATACTATCAGAACTTGAACCAAGTTAGAAAAACAAATTCCTACTGGTACTATCATGAGTGTTTGAGTTAACTGTAGTCACTGAAACTTCTTTCACTTCCTGCTAATACAAGATTTCTCTTTCCTTCTGTTTGTCATATTAGAAATGGTGGCTCTATAAGTTCAGTTTCTGAGCTGATATGGGTCCAGTGAACCAAAATCACTTAGGTCACATTAAAATAAAGTTTTCCAGGCTTCACTTCAAAGATTACAATTTAGGATATTTGGAAAAAGACTCAGCAGCCTGTTCTTTTAAAAAGTTCCCAAAAGAATCATGAAGTGGATATATTTGAGAGACAATGCTTTAGATAGTTATTAGTCACTATTAGTCAAATAAAATTTTTTACCCAGGTATGATTTGTTGATTGCATGAATTTCCTTTTACTTGAGATAAAAGTGTGTGAACACTCTACTCTTTTGCTAGGAGTATAGCTGATATCATTAGATCAAAAAAACCAATGTAAGAACGCACTATGAACTTAAGACGTTAAAAAATATAAAAAACCAAGAGTCAGCAAGTGATCATATATAATAAATGGACAAGCAGTTATTGAGTGTCAGAGCAGAAGATCCTAAATCAAGACATCCTGGTTATTTAATTCAAATTCCTGTCTATCAAGTCTTGCTTTGAAGGCTATGACAGGTTTAGTTGGGATTTTCTTAACCATTACTTGACTGGGCAGAGATTCGTGAATTTGTGTCTGTGTCTCTAAGTGCAAGTGAATAAAGTACTACTTCACAACTAGGAAAGCAAGTGGTGAAGCACAGATTCTGTCCATGGGCCACTCATAAGCTGTCATTAATTTTGCTAATTTTTGTGCACATCTGAATTTTCCTCAAGGCAGCCTTCATGTCCTTGTTCCGGAGACTGTAGATGAGTGGGTTTATAAGAGGAGTGACTGAGGAGTAGAACAAAGTCACAATCTTCTGTATCCCAGCCTGATACCCAGAGGTTGGGCTGATGTACATCACCATGATGCTCCCATAGAACAGAGACACCACAGCTAGATGGGAACCACAGGTGGAGAAGGCCTTCCGTCTACCCTCTGCTGAGGGGACACGCAACACTGCCCTGAGAACCAGGGTGTAGGATGCAAGGATGAAGAAGAACGTGATGAAGATAATAACAGAGCTTAAAATAGAACAGGAAAGCTCAATTCCAGGTGCAGCAATGCAGGACAAGGCCAGCAGTGGACCAGGGTCGCAGACGAAGTGGTCAATAACATTGGGGCCACAAAAGGGGAGTTGCGTGGTAAAGTAGATGGGGATTGGATAGCAGAGGAAGGCAGCTACCCAGCAGAGAACCACCAAGTTCTTGCAGAGAGGCATGCTCATGATGGTCGGGTAGCGGAGAGGCCAGCAGATGGCCAAGTACCGGTCAAAAGCCATGAGGGGCAGCAGGAAGGTCTCAGTGATACCGAATGAGAAGAAGAAGTAGAACTGGAGGAAACAACCTGTGAAAGAGATGGCTTTGGTCTCTGAAAGGAAGTTTCCTAACATATTGGGAACAGTGGTGTTGATGTAGCAGATCTCCAGGAATGAGAAGTTGGCCAGCAGGATGTACATCGGGGTATGAAGCCTGCAATCCAGCATCACTGCAGAGACAATGGCTCCATTTCCCATCAGTGTTAGGATGTAGGACACGAAAAACAGAGCAAAGAGGAGGACCTGAACCCCTCTGGAGCAGGGGAAACTCAGGAGTATAAATTCAGTCACTGTGCTGACTGCTGACAGATTCATGGTTTCCTGTGTGCAGAGAAGAATAAAATGACAATGACATGGTTGACCTTGTTCCCTAAAACTCAAGCATATTTTCCTTTTAGAGATCTGTAAATTCCTCATATTTTGCTATTCTATTAGGTAAATACAATATATCTATACTTCTGAAGACTCAGAGTTTGAAAATGCTTGAGGCCAGCGCCGCGGCTCACTAGGCTATGTACTGGTAGAAAAACATGAATAATGGATCTGTTTTATTATTTTAAGATTTTAAAATATGTATCTTTTCTATTTGAAAGATAGAGTTACACACACACACACACACACACACAGAGAGAGAGAGAGAGAAAGAGAGAGTCTTCCACCTTCTGGTTCCCAAACGGCTACAGCAGAAGGAGATGCTGAAGCCAGGAGCCAGAAACTCCATCCAGGTCTCCCACTTGGCTGGCAGGGACCCAAGTACTTAGGCCATTTTCTACTGCTTTCCCAGGCACATTAGCAGGGAGCTAGACTGGAAGTGGAGCAACCGGGTTTCAACCTGCATTCTAATGGGATACCAGTGTTGCAGGTGATGGTTTAACCCACTATACCACAATTGCTGGCCCCTATTTTAAGATTCCTGAGATTTTTGTTTGATGTGTTAGGATTTCTAGGAGGATCATTATTTGGTTTATGGATGGAAGCAGAGGTCATAAATGTCAAATATTTCCAACAAGGAACTTTGGGTGTTGAAAAAGAAGTAAGAGCCATAAACCACCTGTCTGGAGAAGAAATCTTCTCATGTTCCTCCACTCTGTATATTACTCAAATGCTATTATAGGTCTGGAGGGCTGAAGTTGTTTGGGAAGTGAAGGGATAATCTACATAAAAAGTTCCTTTTCTGAACTGGACTTAGGGTACTGTATGTTTTCTGCTGTGAGAGAGGCCAAGAAAAGAAAAAAAAGACCATCTAAGATTCTATTACCAGTAATGTGGTCATACTTGGTTAGTTTGTTTTCTTGATCCTTTCTATTCATGAGAGACAGTTGTCTTTTGTGCTGTGAAAATGATGGAGTGATGATGTGAATACAGGCAAATATAAGTGCAGAATACAGCCCAGACAATTTTTATCTAAGTGTTCTACCTAAGAATGTTTATTAATGCATTGGTTACAGAATGTGCTCCTTTGCAGATCCCATAGTGTTGTACCTTTAAGATTAGTCTTGATTGTTATAGAATGGGAGGAATTTGGAACTTTTTGCATCCTACTGCACTTTAAGGACCTCTTGAGTTTGTGGATCAGAGGGGATTTCAAAGAGTTCTTGAGAGTTACACATTTGGGACGGTGGCTAAGATGCTGTCTGGGATGACTGCATCTGTACATCTGCATCAGTGCCTGGGTTTGAGTCCTGGCTCCACTGCTAACTCCAGCTTCCTATTAACTCACATTCTGGTAGGCAGCAGGTGACGGCTGGTCTTCATGACTGAGGTTCTAGTTTCTGGCTTTGGCCTGGGCCAGCTCTGGCTGTTTTAGGCATTAAACTAATAGATGAGAGGTAAATAAATAAAATAAATAAATAAATTATTACTAAGAAGGAAAAAGGAATTAAAGCAAATTTATCTGAGCAAAATAATTTTTGGATTATACACCATTTCTCATAGCATGCATTTTTTCCATGAACTTTTTGAACAACATGCTTAAATCACCTTTGACATAGAGAAGCTGTGAGTAATTCTTCTGTAGCTGTACTTCAGAGTACACCAAGTTACAAAGAAATGGTGAGGAAAGTGTGAACAAAAGCAAGAAATACTTGGTTTTAATGTGCAGGAAGATTCGATTCCATTTGAGCTTTTTTTTTTTTTTTTAATTTTTTTGACAGGCAGAGTGGACAGTGAGAGAGAGAGACAGAGAGAAAGGTCTTCCTTTGCCATTGGTTCACCCTCCAATGGCTGCCGCGGCCGGCACGCTGCGGCCAGCGCACTGCGCTGATCTGAAGCCAGGAGCCAGGTGCTTCTCCTGGTTTCCCATGGAGTGCAGGGCCCAAGCACTTGGGCCATCCTCCACTGCACTCCTGGGCCACAGCAGAGAGCTGGCCTGGAAGAGGGGCAACCGGGACAGAATCTGGCACCCCGACCGGGACTAGGACCCAGTGTGCTGGAGCCGCAGGCGGAGGATTAGCTTATTGAGCCGCGGCGCCGGCCCCATTCGCTTTGTAAACGCGATGGAACTGAACTCACCAGTGTGATGTGCTCAGTCATCTTCCCAGTCTCTGTTCTCTCGTGGTCGGCCATCTGCTCCTTTGAAGAACAAAGCAGCACTGCAATCAGGGAGTGCTGAGGTTGCTTTCAGCGCTGCTCCTTATAGCTGCTTTGTCAGTTCTTCCAGAAGTCAGTTTGCTAATACTTCTTGGTACCCTATGTTTCCTTCTGAGTACAACTTCTGGTTAATAAAGATAGAATTCAGATTCTACTGAGGCCCCTCCCTTAGCATCATGTTCTTTAGTTTCCAGACTTTCCTAGCCTCTTATAAATATGAGTCTTTTTCCATCCGTTCATATAACTGGAAGAGTTGTTTTTATAGCCACATAAAAGAAAGCAGAGGTAAAAGGCACACTTAAGCACTGGTCCAGACTTGTATCTCTTCTGAATCCATATCCATAGAACCGGCAGGTCTGACTGGTAATATTTGTTTTTATTGCAGCAAAAGGCAGACAGGATGGAGGGCATGGCACAAAGCAGGTCTGATTGGAGAGAATCTGGTAGATTTGCTCCACCACAGAGCCTTTTCTGTGTTACTCTGAAAACTATGACTTGTCTTAAGGGATAATATCTCCTGTGGATTTCAAGAGTTGGAATTTATGAGGGAAGATTGTCAATTGTATCCCATGTTCCCTTCCTGCAGGAGCCCACTAATTAGCCCTTGGGATCCAGTGTCTCCAGAAGTAATCACATCTTCTATGCTATTTTTAAAACAGATGCTTAGTTTTTTCAATCTACAGGCTCCTGTTATAATGGTGGAAGGGTAAATATTATAACAATACAAGTTTTTCTGGAAGAAATTTCTGTTTATCTTTGTATTTCTATCATTATATTAGAATTGTATCTATGAACTACATTAGATCTGCTGTTTGTATTAATATCACACTAACATGAAAAATAGAGTAAAATAAATGAATAAATAAAATGTTGGCAAAGTTGCAGGTTATATGTAGGGAGCAATCCGGACTGGACTAAGTTACTGGAATTAAGACTTATTCTATGCATCTGCTCTCCCACAATATGGCGCTGGGAGAGAAGTAAACAGCTTCTACACAGCTGCCTCCAGTTCAGCTAATAAACTGTAGGACTTGCTCCTGATTGGAGAGCAGCGTACTCGGCGTGTGGGCAGCCGAGTTAGGATTGGCGGAGGAGGACTATAAAGGAGGAGAGAGACGGCATGCACCAGGAACATCTAAGGGGAACACCTGTGCAGCCCCCGAGAGAGCCGGCCGGCGGTGTGCCGCTCCCCCGCGGAAGTGGGGAATGTGGCAGGGGGAACTGCCCTTCCACGGAGGTGGAAGGGTCGGCAGCCAACCCGGGAAGAACAAGCAGCAAACCCGGGGAGGGCCGAGCAGACGAAAGAACAGCGCAGGGTCCTGTGTCGTTCCTCCACGAAGACGGGGAGCAACATTATAAAATCAACACATACAGATCAATAGCTTTTGTATGTACAAACAAAGCTATGGCTGAGAAAGAACTTATAAGATCACTACCACTCACAATAGCTACAAAAAATTTAAATACCTCGGAAGAAATTTAACCAAGGAAGTTAAAGATCTCCACAATGAAAATTACGAAACATTAGGGCCGGCACCGCGGCTCACTAGGCTAATCCTCCGCCTAGCGGCGCCGGCACACCGGGTTCTAGTCCCGGTCGGGGCGCCGGATTCTGTCCCGGTTGCCCCTCTTCCAGGCCAGCTCTCTGCTGTGGCCAGGGCGTGCAGTGGTGGATGGCCCAGGTGCTTGGGCCCTGCACCCCATGGGAGACCAGGAAAAGCACCTGGCTCCTGGCTCCTGCCATCGGATCGGCGCGGTGCGCCGGCCGCAGCGCGCCAGCCGTGGCGGCCATTGGAGGGTGAACCAACGGCAAAGGAAGACCTTTCTCTCTGTCTCTCTCTCACTGTCCACTCTGCCTGTCAAAAAAAAAAAAAAAAAAAAGAAAATTACGAAACATTAAAGAAAGAAAACACGAAAAGGGGAAAAGATAAGAATGCTATCTCACTGAATAGAAAGTATCAAGAAGATATATATTATAAACCAGATGAAACCCTGGAGTTTAAAACTATAGTAAATGAAATGAGAAAAAAAAATCAATAAGAAGGCTCAATAACATATTTGATTTGGTAGAAGAAAACATCAACAGATTTTCAAATAAATTAACTGAGAAGATCCAGTCTGAGATACAAAGGCAAATAAATGAAGAATAATAGATAAAGTTTCAGAGACCTATAGGATATCATCAAGTGTACCAATGTATAATGGGGCTCCAAGGAGAAGAAAAGGTGATGGATAAAGTGCTTGGGCCCCTGAAACCCACATGAGATACACAGACACAGTTCCAAGCTCTTTATGTCAGCCTGGCTAAGTCCTGGCTGCTGCAGGACATTTGGAGAGTGAGCCAGCAGATGATGGCGTTCTTCCTGTCTCTTTCTTTCTTTCCTTCTTTCTTTCTTTCCTTCTTTCTTTCTTTCTTTCTTTCTTTCTTTCTTTCTTTCTTTCTTTCTTTCTTTCTTTCTTTCTTTCTTTCTTTCTTTCCTTCTTTCCTTCTTTCCTTCTTTCCTTCTTTCCTTCTTTCCTTCTTTCCTTCTTTCCTTCTTTCCCTCTTTCCCTCTTTCCCTCTTTCTTTCTTTCTTTCTTTCTTTCTTTCTTTTTCTTTCTTTCTTTCTTTCTTTCTTTCTTTCTTTCTTTCTTTCTTTCTTTCTTTCTTTCTTTCTTTCTTTCTTTCTTTCTTTCTTTCTTTCTTTCTTTCCTTCCTTCCTTCCTTCCTTCCTTCCTTCCTTCCTTCCTTCCTTCCTTTCTCTCTCTCTCTCTCTCTCTCTCTCTCTCTCTCTTTCTCTTTTTATTTTGGTCATTTGCCTTTGAAGTACCAAAAAAAAAAAAAAAAGCTTAAAATAGATTTATCTTGGGGCCAGCACTGTGGCTTAGTAGGTTAAGCCTCTGCCTATGGCACTGGCATGCCATATGGGGACCAGTTTGTGTCCTGGCTGCTCTATTTCCCATCCAGCTCTCTACTAAGGCCTAGAAAAGCAGCAGAAGATGGCCCAAGTACTTAAGACCTTGCACCTACATGGGAAACCTGGTGGAAGCCCCTGGCTCCTAGCTTTGGATTGGCCCATCTCTGGCTGTTGCAGACATTTGGGGAGTGAATCAGTGGTTGCAAGACTTCTCTCTGTCTTTCCCTTTCCCTGCTGTAACTCTGCCTCCCAAATAAATAAATAATTCTTTAAAACATTTATCTTGTTTTTTTTTTTTTAATTTACCTTTGTTTACTTATGCCTTTACTTTTTTGTGTAACTTAAAGTTACTATCTACTATTCTTTCATTTTCATTTGCTTATAAGAAAAATTAAATACCAGCACGTTTTTGATTTTCATTGATCTGGGAATGCTCTTCTCTCCCTATTTTTTGGAAGGATAGTCTTATTGTATATAAAATACTTGGATGAGAATAATTTTTCTCTCCATCCATTTGAATATGCTGGCCCATTGTCTTCTGGCTTCCATGGCATTTGATGAGAAGTCAGCTGTTAGTCTCATTTGGGAACACTTGACCACTTGTATGGGCTGAGTTGCTTTTCTCTTGCTGTTTTCAAGATTCTCTCTGGTTTTGTCTTCCAACAGTTTGACCCTTGGGTGTGCAGATGTGAATCTCTGTGTTTATCCTACTCAGAGTTTCTTAAACTTCTTGAAAATGTTGGCTAAAATTTTCATCAAACCAGGAATGTATTCAAACATTATTTCTTCAAATAGTATTTCTGATCAGAAGCAGAGTAGTTGAGACTTGAACCAGGCACTCTGATACTGGATGTGGGCCTAAGTGGAAGCTTAATCTTCTGTGCCACCACACTCCCTCTCAATCTATTGTTAAATGTAATTCTAGGCCGGCGCCGTGGCTCAGTAGGCTAATCTTAAGCCTGTGGCACTGGCACCCCGGGTTTTAGTCCTGGTTGGGGTGCTGGATCCTGTCCCAGTTGCTCCTCTTCCAGTCCAGCTCTCTGCTGTGGCCTGGGAAGGCAGTGGTGGATGGCCCAAGTGCTTGGGCCCTGCACCCACATAGGAGACCAGGAGGAAGCACATGGCTCCTGGCTTCGGATCGGTGTGGCATGCTGGCCGTAGCGGCCATTTGGGGGGTGAACCAACGGAAGGAAGACCTTTCTCTCTGTCTCTCACTGTCTAACTCCGCCTGTCAAAAAAAATGTAGTTCTATCTGACCCAAAGCACAACTGTAAGATACAATTATAAAGTAGTGCTAGTGGGTTTTTGATATAGAAATGTAGCATCCAGATGACAATAAAAGTAGAAAAAAGGAGGGAATAAAATGAGCTGTACTGGAGCAAAGTTTTTTATATTGAGTAACTCCAAAGGCTGGTACATTGCCAGAGCATTTTTTCATGGAAGGATTTTAAGTGAATGATTGTATAACTTTCCAATACACTCTTTTCTTCATATTATTAGTTCTTACCCTGTATAATGTCCCAAATACAAGCATGGAAAAACTATTCAAGGGGCCAGCATTGTGGCATAGTGGGCTAAGCCTCTGCCTGCAGTACCAGTGTTGGCTATGGGCACTAGTTTGTGTCCCGGCTGCTTCTCTTCCAATCCAGCTCTCTGTTTATGGCCTGGAAAAGCAGTGGAGGATAACCTAAGCGCTATGGGCCCCTGCACCCATGTGGGAGACCCGGAAGACGCTCCTTTTGCTTCAGATAGGCTCAGCCCCAGCCATCGTGGCCATTATTATAGTGAACCAGTAGATGGCAAACCTTTCTCTCTGTCTCTCCCTAACTTTACCTCTCAAATAAATAAATAGTCTTTTTTTTAAAAAAAAAACACTCAAAAGAGACTTGTCTGTTTTGGATATAAAACTTTTTTGGCAAAACAATGATGACTACAGTTGAGTTGTGGCTTTTTGCAATCTAATATTTCTTTGGTTTTATTGATTTGACCAAGAGAGGAAAAGAAAAGGCACGTGGATGTGGTCTCATTCTGTGTTACTGTAGGGTATGGTAATTAGTAAATTCAGATGCATTGGTACCCCATCCTATTCTTTAGGAGGAACTTTTCAAAATCTCTAGGCTCCATCCCCTGATTCTGAGCTACTTTGTGGAGAACCACTACTCAGACAAACGCTCATATCAATAGAGTCCTGTATGTGACTATGATTACAGTCACCCCTTCCTAGAATCTGCTATAGATCATTGCTTTCCAAACTTAAATGTCCACACAAATGCTCTGAGGATAATGTTCAAGTACAGCAAGTACAAATTCTAATTCCATAATCCTAGGATGGAGTCCTGAAATTTTGCTTTACGAGGAACTCCCTAGTGGTGCCCTGCCAATGACTCACAGGTGACACCTTCAACAGTAAGAACTGCATAATGTATTTTAAAATGTGCAGGAGTGGGAATGTGGTTAGTCACAAGAAATGAAATAAAGCGACTTATATTTTTAGACAAAGGGATTGACGAAGGAAGGGAAAGAAGTAATTTATCAGAGATTAACTCACCTGGTGAAACTTTTCTGTTCATTTGATTATCATTTAATTGTTGGTCCAACCAGTTTAGGTTGACCTCACATTCTTCTAGGAAATGTTTTCCTTTTGCCTATTGGACTTATAAAGTATAGATCATTAGAGTTTGTACAGGTTCATTAAATGCTGTCCAGATCATCAAGAACCATAGAATCTAGTGAGGAAATATGAACAAATTCCTTTATTTAAGTGGACATCATTTATATCTACATGCTAGGCATTGTGTTGGATTCTGGAATTAACAGATTTTTAAAAAAGATTTTATTTATTTATTTGAGAAATATAGTTACAGAGAGAGGGAGAGATAGACAATTGATAAAGAGAGAGAGAGAGAAAGAGAGAGAAAGAGATCTTCCATTTGCTGCTTCACTCGCCAAATGGTGGCAACAGCTGGAACTGGGCTGATCTGAAGCCAGGAGCCAGGAGCCAGGAGCCAGGAGCTTCTTCTGAGTCTCCCACATGGGTTCAGGGGCCCAAACACTTGGTCCATCTCTACTGCCTTCACAGGCCATAGCAGACAACAGGATCAGAAGAAGAGCAGCCAGGACACCAGCAGGTGACCAAATGGGATGCTGGTGCCTCAGGCAGAGGCTTAGCCTACTAAGCCACACCATCGGTCCTCTGGAATTACAGATATTAATAAAGCCCCATTCCTGTTCTAAGGAAATTTACAATCTAATAAGAAAGGGGAGATATGTAGAGGCAGACTTGTAAACAGATTACTATTATGCAAGAAGCAGAAACATTTTAAATTACAGGATAATTAGCATATTTTGAAATGTCCCCTTTGAAAAGTCTGCATTTACTTGACATTTCTCAACTTTTCACTGATGAAGGTTCTCAGTGTGCATTCATTTGGAAATAATTCAGAGAGCAGCTTTATGAGCTTCCCAGAACTTTCTTTAAAGCATCCTTCATTTCTTTATTTCGGAGGCTGTAGATCATGGGGTTGAAAAGAGGGGTCAACACTGAGTAAAACAAAGTCGTGAACTTCTGCATGCCCTCTGCTTGTCCTGATCCTGGGCTCACATAGGTCATCATGACTGAGCCATAGAACAGAAACACGACAGCCAGGTGTGAGGAGCAGGTGGAGAAGGCCTTTCTCCGCCCAGCAGCAGAGGGCACCTGCATCACAGCCCTCAGCACTAGGGTGTAGGAGCCAATAATGTAGAAAAAGGTGGCAAAGATGAGGAGGGAGCTCATGGTGCCACATATGAGAACCGTCCCTGGGACTGGGACGCAGGCTGAAGCCAAAGCCAGCAGGGGACCGAGGTCACACAGAAAGTCATCAATCACATTTGGGCCACAAAATGGCAGCTGGGTAACGAGTATTACTGGGATCAGAAACCAGAGAAAACCATAGACCCAACAAAAGAGAACGAGGCTCCTACAGAACTTAATAGTCATGGTAGTCGGGTAGTGTAGGGGGCGACAGATAGCCAGGAAGCGATCATAGGCCATGATGGAGAGAAATAAGCACTCAGTTGTGCCCAGTGAAAAGAAGAAGTATAACTGGAGGAAGCACTGGGCAAAGGAGATGGTTTTGGTCTTGGAGAGGAAGTTGGCCAGCATGTTGGGCACATCGGAGTTGACATAGCAGATTTCCAGGAAGGAGAAATTGGCCAGCAGGATGTACATGGGGGTGTGGAGCCGGTGGTCCCTGTGCACTGCACACACGATTGCCACATTTCCAAGCAGAGTCAGGATGTAAGTCACAGAGAATATGGAGAACAGCAGGATTTGCATTTCCCAGCGGCAAGGGAAGCCCAAGAGGATGAAGTAACTCACAGTGTGGGAGGTATTTCTGGCTTCTGGGGTCATTTCCTTCCATCCTGTGAGGATTGCAGCAAAAATTACATATCCAAAGGGAGCTAGGCTTCCTTACTCCTCCTTAGGAGATGGAATGAGTACACTTTCCTGGTCATATGAGTGGCAATTTAGACCAATGGTTCCTAACTTGTTTGAATGCACACCCCAACAATACAGTTGTTGAGGATACTTTGTATGATTGACTATTCACTTATTAACTGTATATAAGCTATTGTTCATCAAAATTGTAAATATTGGTAAAGCTTTTTGGAAAGTTTTCCTGGAATTGAAATAAAAACAGAAGTTCAAATATTTTCTTCTGCATTCTTCAGTAGGTCACCTGGTGTACCCAATTTTCGAGAACACTGGGTAGACATGGCAAGTAGGTTGCAGGCTATAGCTAAATAGATATGCTAACTTTGATTTAGGTAGTTCACTTACAAAAAATAAAGAACTTATAGGTCTACTGCACAAAACACCTAATATAACCTAAGCAACATATAGGGAGAGAATATGAAGCTTAAGAAGCCAGATATGAAAATACCTACATAGAGGTGGAGCAATTTAAAGAAAGTTATAACTTAGCTACAACAGGTAGCAATTTCTAGACCACTATCAGGATCTATTCTCTATCTGTAGGCTGGTGTAGTACATGGGCTTGGGACGTTGGTGTTATCAGTATTATATGGGGAATCCTTTGAGAGGTATAGATTTCTGGGCTCTGGCCTGGGATTGGGATCCACTGGTTTGAAAGAGCATGGGATTTGGACTCAAAGATCTGGGATTGAATCTGGACTGTTATTTTTAAGCAGTATTTCCTTAAGAAAAGAACTTCTGTTACTAATGGTGGGGCAGCATGTCTGTGAATTACGCTGTCTCGTGACCCCATCATCATGTTGACATCAATGTAATTCCTATAAAAAGATGCGCTACCAGGCTCCTAGCCCTATGAGCTATTCATTAACTCTGTGGCTGATTATAATGGACATATTTTATGCTTGCATTTTTAGCTTTTATTAGACTAAATTACAATGGAAAGATTTTTACCTGCTTATAACTTGGAAGTTTAGCGTGCAATGTAAGGAAGATCAAGAAATACCAAGCTGTTAGCATCAGTCCAACTCCAAATATAGGATGTTTTTATTGCCAATATTTTTGTGTGTATGTTCTGGCTCACTTTCATTTTGCGCCAGTGTGGCCCCAAGTTACTGCTGGTTGTATTTAGTTTGTGAATAGAAGCCCATAAGTGTTAATAGACTGTAACATTCACTGGAAGATGAATTATATAGGACATGGGAAATCTCATTAAGTCTTGAAGTTAATTTAAATTAATTTATCTGTTTTCTCTACGAAATGTTTATCATAAAATATATATGTGTATTTTCCCTTTGGTTATAAAATTTGGGAAAGTATATACAAGTGCGGCTACACTGGCTTTAATTTTCTAGATGTCTTAATGAGATTTATTTGTTTTAGAAAAGAACAACTTGTCGAAAGCATCAAATTTTGTCTTATGTAATGGTCAACAGCCTCTTCCAGATGTGCTGGTTATGTGATCTGTATCCTAGTTGTTCAGTTAGAATAAGAGGTTGACCTACTGACTCATTTTTAAAAAATTTTTATATTTGGAATGAAACTGCAAAGTTAAGATGAAGTACTGTACTGTGAGAAAATATGATACTTACTAAATCTGTGGCTTAACACTTATGAGAGTTGCCAGCTTGAAAATGATGGTGTTGACTACATCTTGAATCACTTCTATCTATCAACCACTGGCACCTACCACCAAGCAGGCTGCCATTAGTATGTGTGCTTTTTGGTATTAACAACTCTAACCATACTAGAGACCAAAGTGAACCCTGATTCTATATGTCTTTAATTCAGTGTTTTATCTAGTGTTTTTTAAATTATTCTGTGTAGTATTTAGATTACCTCATTGTCCATTTTGACTTGTATTGTTTACAAGTGAAAATTAAAAAAATGCTTGAACTGTATGTTTTTGTTCTTTCTTTTTTCTTTTCTTTCTTTTTTTTTTTTACAGGCAGAGTGGACAGAGAGAGAGAGAGAGACAGAGAGAAAGGTCTTCCTTTACTGTTGGTTCACCCTCCAATGGCTGTCGCGGCTGGCGCACTGCGGGCGGCGCAAGGCGCTGATCCGAAGCCAGGAGCCAGGTCCTTCTCGTGGTCTCCCATGCAGGTGCAGGGCCCAAGGACTTGGGCCATCCTCCACTGCACTCCCGGGCTACAGCAGAGAGCTGGACAGGGAGAGGAGCAACTGGGATAGAATCCGGCGCCCCAACCGGGACTAGAACCTGGGGTGCCGGCACCGCTAGGCGGAGGATTAGCCTATTGAGCTGCGGCCTCGGCCTTGTATGTTTTTGAAGAACAAGGAAGGAGTAGATGTTTGGAATGGCATTTCATTCATGTACAGTCGGTCATCTCGATGGACTAAAGCACTGTTTGCCTTTTCTGCAGACCATGGATTTTATCTTTGCATTTCATGCTTACTGTCTTATTTTGTCAATTATGGATATTTTGAGGCTTATAAAAATTACTTGATTGAAAATAAAACGTATAATGTTGGCATAAAAAACGAAAAGAACTTCTGAGATTACATTACTTTCTGTATAAACTATGACTACACAGCAAGACTCATATGCGAATTGTATAAAACAAGATATGTAAAAGTTATTTGTAGAATGTAAAATACTACAGAGGCTGGCGCCGCGGCTCACTAGACTAATCCTCCGCCTTGCGGCGCCGGCACACCGGGTTCTAGTCCCGGTCGGGGTGCCGGATTCTGTCCCGGTTGCCCCTCTTCCAGGCCAGCTCTCTAATGTGGCCAGGGAGTGCAGTGGAGGATGGCCCAAGTGCTTGGGCCCTGCACCCCATTGGAGACCAGGAGAAGTACCTGGCTCCTGCCATCGGATCAGCGCGGTGTGTCGGCCACAGCATGCCAGCCACGGTGGCCATTGGAGGGTGAACCACCGGCAAAAGGAAGACCTTTCTCTCTGTCTCTCTCTCTCACACTGTCCACTCTGCCTGTAAAAAAAAAAAAAAAAAAAAAAAAGAATGTAAAACACTACAGAAACATAAATTGTTGAGGAATTATTGTGCTAGATGACACATTTCCTTGTTAGTCTTAGAAATTAAATGGCTTTCAAAATGCAAAAGTGTGTGTGTGTGTGTGTGTGTGTGTGTGTGTTTTGGCCAGGGGAATTTTAGCCATGTGACAGGCTGAGTATATGACTGTGTGTTCTTATACACATATATGAATAGTAGAGTACTCCCAGTTCTCCTGGAACATATCAAAGATGCAAATCTCTAATAAGCTTCCTCAAGACCATTTTTGCCCATCAAACATACCAGCATCCCCAATTTCTTCATTATAAGCTGTCTTTCCTAGTGGGGATTCCACTGCTATATTGTATGACTAGATAATTTCCTGGTGGCTAAACTGTGGTTTATGTTAAGTCCACCCTGTTTTTAATCTGCAAAACCTCCTTGGTGATTATTATCTGCACTACACCTTTCTCTCCTTGCTTCCTTGTACGACTTCTTGTAGGAGGAAAGGTCAGATGCGTTCAAATGATGATAATAGGAAATCATTTTGAAAAAGGTGGCCTTGTGTAACTCAGGTTTTGTTGCAATCTTTTTTTTTTTAAATTTATTCTCTGTTACTCTTTGTTTTTAGGGTTAGGGTTTATTTTGCCTTGGACAAAATTGTGTTTATTGTTTGTTTTTGAATGTAAGAGACTAGAGAGAAGTTTCTCTAAAGTGTAGACCTTGGAATAAGAATTTGTCAATCATTTTTCATCTATTTTTCTGCTTTCCCATCTTGGAAGCCTAGAGACCAAATGCTTTCTTTGCCTTTTCTTAATAACATCAGTTTCCTATAGAAAAAAGTCCAAAAAGCTCATGCGTAAGTTGAACCCACAACACCTGTAAAGATCTTGCATTTTTCCCATGTGATCATGACGATATGGCGCACACACACCAGATTTACTAGAACATCATTTACTGTGTCAGTCTCACGGGTCCAGCATCAGTGACAGGCATGAAGATCTGTGTTGCTCATTATAACTGAGGCAGCACACAGAAATCTTGGACTAACATGCCACGACATGCAACCAACCTTCAGGCTAGGGGTTCTTTTATCTGCATTTGAGGAAGCAAAGTCTCTCCAATTGTGATTAGGGCCAGACATAATATCAAAATGAAGAAAGCTTCATTTGGTCCTATTGCTAGATACAGAATCTGTGGCTTGGGTGGGAAGATATCAGCTGTTCTGCTACGATTGGGAGCTGTGGCTCCCAATCCAATGACAAGGTAGCAGCAGGAGTTTTTGAATCAGCCAGGTGGTGGACAAAGTGATTTCCTTATGCAGTGGGCAGTAGTTTTTCTCATTTCCATGGAAGTTTGCAGGAGGCAGCTTCCTCTTTGGAAGGGTAGCCTGAGAGAATCAGTTTTAGACAAGTGAACCCTTTTTTTGGCTTTCTTAATTACTGTGTAGAGGAGTCCTAGCAAATATTATTACCTCAATTTTATATATGAAGAGATCAAGGCTCAAAGAGGTTAAATGTCTGAGGTCCCAAGCCAGTAAGTGACAGAATTAGGACAAGAGTCCATGATTTCTGGTTCTTATTTTTACCATTTTCCCACCACTTTAAAGGACTTTCGGTGTAAATATGTTTAAAATGTCACCATCTCAAGGGAAAAGTGTAGGGAACTAATAAAATGAATCCCAGTTGATACCGGTAGATACCACATCTTCTGAGTGCCCCTGAAGTCATACTACTTAGGTAGAATTAAGATTTGTTTTTACTTTATGTTTCATTTTTACAGTCTATTTTATTTTGCAATATGAAGAAAGAACATATCAATACTTTGCAACATTGTTCAACTCAAGGAGTTCAACTTTAGCTCATCCTCTAAAGTGGTCATAAAATGGCATCAATTGATCATAAAAAGTGAGATCTGTTGCACTTGTTATTTCGTGGCAGTAGTTTGAGGCCAATCACTGTCAGGTCAAAGACACTAAGGGTTGAAACAGACAGTTATTTTAGGGTTATTTTACTTTTACCTGATTTTTGTGAGACTCAATATTAAGCCTCTCTATCGGTTACCCGCAACTGAAGTCAGATCACTTCTCAACCATTTATTAAAAATCAAGATAAATGCAACTGTTTCTTTTGCATTCTGGGATGTTATCATTCTATTTGTTGCAGTCTCAGATGTATGACTGCCTTTCAATTTTTTCATGACTCATAATGTTATCCTCTTTTCTCCTTTTGCCTCACTGATTCTCTACTTTCCACTAATTTTCATAGCACAAAGGACAATTGATTCAATGTGCTTTGTCTTGGGATATATGCAGTGGGACAATGTTTTTAATCACCTGTTTCCACCTGTATTTTGAAGGAAGTAAAGAAACTGTCAGGTGTAATCTTTTATTTCTTGGAATAATGTG